AATTCATGTCCAAACAAGAATCTTCACTATGACATGTCTGATAAATAGTCATTCATCTTCTGCTTGAAGAACTCCGTTGTGGGGGAACCTGCTACTTCCCATTTCAACTTTCATTCATTGTTCCTAATATTTCCCTCTGGGGCCAAATAGAACAAACTAATCCCTCTTCCAGTGACAACTCTTCAGATACTCAAGACAGCTGTTATATGCATCTTCTCTTCACCAAGCAAATAAAAATCCTCATTTCTTTCCACTGATTCTCATAGAGCATAGACTTAAAGCCCTTTATCATCCTAGTTAACCTTTTCTGGCCACTTTACAGTTTAACAATGTACTTCCTAAACTGTGGTTCTCCAGAAGACAGCATTCTAGGTGTGATCTAATCAGGGCCAATTACAATGGAACTTTTTCTCACCTCCTTATTTCTCTAAGGTTATGACCCATTTAGTGAAGCCCTAGATAACATTAGCTTTTTTTTGGTGGGCCTTTTACACTGTTAACTTGTATTGTGCTTTCAGGCCATTAAAACCCCCCAGATATTTGTCAGAAAACTGCTGTCTAACCATGCCTTTCCTGTCACACTTGTGAAATTGATCTTTTTGAGCCCAAAGGTAAGACTTTACATTTGTCCCCATTAAATTTCACATTATATTAAATTCAGCCCGTTGTTTTAGCCCACCTGAGTCTCTTTTTGCAATTGGATTTTATCACCATCTACAAATTTGATAAAGACACCATCTCTGTCAGTATGCATTAATGTAGATGTTAAACAGACTATGGCTAAGCACAGGTCCTTGGGACATCTGTTGGAGAGTTTAGTTCTAGACTTTTTCCAGGAATCACAATTAGGTTCATTGCCCTGTTATTTGCAAACTCCATTTCATTGCCTTTTTTGAATATTGGAACATTTCCCCTTTTCCATTTAATATCTTTTCTAGTCTCTATGGTTTTCCAAATATCATTGAACATTAACACAGCAATCATATCTACCATTTTTTTCAGTACCTGAGAATATAGTTCATCTGGGTCATCTGAATTTATCCAGAGCAATTAGGTACACTCTTTATTATTTATTTATTTATATTAGATATCAGTTTCTTATTAATCATTCTTCATCTGCCTTTTCTGGTCCAAAGATAATTTTCCTTCGTATAAAAAACAAACAAAATAAGAATTAAGTCATCCCATTTTTTTTCTTCTATTTTTAGTTATCAGTGTCCTATCTACACTACCTTTTGTGTAGTCTTGCTTTATGTCAGCTCTCTGAACTTGAAGGTTTGTCCAGAATTAGTTTGTCTGATTTTGAATTAGGAAAGGGGAATCTTTGACTATAAAATGGAACTTTGATTGTAACTATACATACATGCATGTAGTTCCACTTATAGAAACAAGAATGGGTCTTGGTAGGGCACTCTTGCCTGAGGAGGGAGATAAATATTTTAAAATCAAGGATTTAGCTGCTTTGATTTAATCAAAGTCATAAAAAAATTTTTATCAATGGTAAAATTATTCATTTAAAAAGTGTTGTAGTCTTTTTATCCTGACTTAAGTGGCAGCAAATTCCACAGCATACTTTCCATAAGCCTTGAAAATTTTTTTTATTTGGAATGTCCCATCATTAGAATAGTGTATTCCTTTTTTCTTGTTTGAAGAAGTCAATTCTCAGCTTCAATTAATGATGTTTAGAATTGAGTAAACCAGAGTTCAGTGTGTTGTCATTGTCCCGGATAAAGAGGAAATGGTGGGAGGCGGGAGGGAGGGGGGAAGAAGAACATATGGGATAGACAGGTGTTTTTCCTTTTTCAGATACTACTGTTTGATGATGTGACATATCTTAGTTTGATAATGGAGGGGGAAAGTCCTTTAGGCCTGGTGGCTATTATCTTTTGATAATATGTCCCCAGGACATTCTCCCTATGTCTCAATAAGTTCAGTGCCTGCCCCCAACCTTTCTCTCATCTTCTGCCTTCGTAATAGGGGAGTTGAGCATAAATGTTGTTGTTCCCTACATACACTTCACCTCAGCTATGCACAGAGATAGTCACATTCTTGATTTTACCATCACTGCCTAGTGTTCTACTTCTTTGTTCACAAACTGAAATTCTTTTATCCAAGCATAAATCTCTTAAAATTACATCTTTCCTGGTGTTTTATAATCACTAATCCTGTTCTTCATCTTCACTGTGTCCTCCATTCAATACAAACTTCCGCTCTTTCCCAAGCCATCATCCCTACACTGGCTGCTGTACATACATTCAGCATTTGCAGGGGTTAGGAGTGCAGGAGTCATGCAAATGTGAAAAACCAAGAAAAACTCTAGGCACTACCCCAAAATCTTTATCTTAATCATTCTGATCAGATTTATTTAACATACAAAACAAGTAAAACAACAAACTGTGCCTATAAAAATGTTGCAGTTTTTACATGAGAGAGATTAGTATTTCACACACTATGTAGTATCTTCACAGCAGCTGCTGGTGTAACTGCAGTGACTGAACTGCTTCATGGATTTCCTTCTCCTAGGAAAAATGCAAGATATAGTGATCACTGTGGGTGAAAATCAAATGACTGAGTCTGGATGGTAAAAAGACAAAGAGGATTTCCCAAAGAGTGTGTTCTTCCCAACTTCCCCAAGTTCTTCAGCACACTGAAACTTTTATAAAAATTTATCTCCCACTTAATTATTGGTAGCCAACCTGTGAATAACCAGAGCCACAAATAGAATGTCATGAGATGACTGTACTTTCCTCCTTTCCCTACCTTAATCCCTTGGTGAATGCTACAGTATCTTCTACTCTCCAATCCCTTGTCTGTTTGTCTTATTACTGATCACATGTTGGCCAAGCTTCAACCATGAATTATTACCAACATTCACCTCCTTCACTCCTGTTCATGAAATACTGATTGTGTCTAATGTACTGAGTTTTGGGATGTTCTCATTAGTATTATATGATAAGATGCTTTGAGAAGGTCCCTGAATCGATTGTGATAATAATGAAATAAATACAAAATGACATCTGAAGAATGTTAGCAATCAGTATTAGATACATCACTCTAACAGTGATAAGTAAAATGAGGGTTTCATATAGAGCAAAGACTTTATGATGACATCATTTGAAAAGCACCTAGTATAGAACATTTGTATAGTGGAGCCAACATAAATAGCTTCAGAGCCTCCATTCACACCAAAATAGAGAACAGTTGTATCCTCTACCAATACGGAGTATAGCTAGATCTTTGTATCTAATTAATAGAATACTATTTTAGTGAAAATTTTGTTTTTCTGAAATTTAAAATGGTTAGTAAAAAGATATGATGGTTTTCAGAGGTTACAGATTTTATAGCTGAAAAGTACTTCAGAGATTGCTTAGTCTGTCCCTTTAATTTTTACAAATGATGAAACTGAAGTACTAAGAGGTTAAATGACTTTGAATGATTGGTTATCTATAAACCTTTATCAGAGAAACTTGCTATGAAAGTTTTTATTTTTGTCCAGTTATCTTTTACTTTTAATTTTAACAGTATTGATTTGTATTGTACAAAATCTTTTCAATTTTTGGTAATCAAAGTTGCCCATTATTTCTTCTGTGATCATCCTTATCACTTATTTTTTGAAAAATATTTTCTCCATTGCTCTTCTAATTTGTTTAAAATTTCATATCTTAAACAAATGCCTTTTATGTCTAGGTCACGTATATATTTGAAGTTTGTCTTTTTATATTATATGTTAGTCCAAACCTAATTTCTACATGACAGTTTTGCAGTTTTCCCAGCATTGTTAATTAGATTGTTAAATAGATAGTTTTTGGATTTATCAGATACTACATTACTATGTTCATTTGCTTCCATATGTTGTATACATAAACTCTTCCAATGATCCACTAATATACTTTTTAATCAGCAGTAATTAATTTTGATGATTATTGCTTTGTAGTATAGTTTGAGATCTGGTACTTCTGGTTCCGCCTGCCTCTTTTCATTATTTCCTTTGAGAATCTTGAACTTTTGTTCCTCTGAATGAATTATTATGATTTTTTCTAAAGTAATGTTTGATGTAACAAAAAATAAATAAAGATATAGTATTGTCATTTTAATTACATTGAGATAGCCCAACCATTGACAATTAATATGCCTCCACTTATTTAGTTCTGTATTTCTTTCCATAACAGATGTTTTCTTGTTGTAGTTCTGTACTTCCTCATTGTCTTTGTAGATGGACTTTTAACTATTTTATACATTATATAGTTATTTTGAAGGCCATTTCTCTTATCTTTTTGTGTTGAGTTTTCTTCACATTATATATATATAGAGAGAGAGAGAGAGAAAGAGAGAGAGACAGGTTAATGATTTTTGTGGATTTATTTAATATTCTTCTACTTTGTTCAAGTAATTGTTTCAGTTAATCTTTTTATTTTACTGTAAGCTTCTCTTAAGTAGAGCATCATATTCTCATCAAAAAGTGATCTTTTTGTTTCCTCTTTGACTACTTGTTCTCTCTACTTTTTTTCCCCTCTCATTACTATAGCATTTCTAGCATTATGTCAAATAATAGTAATGATAATGGACATACTCGATTTACTCCTGATGTTATTGGAAAAAAAACTCTAATCTTTCTTTATTACATAAACACTGTTGGCTCATCGTTTTAGAAAGATACTATTAACTATAGTAAAAATAGAACTATTTATTCCTGTGCTTTTTAATAGTTTTAACACACATGGGTATCGTATTTTGTCAGTAGCCTTTCCTGTATCAGTTGATATAATCATGTGATTTTTAGTGTTTAAAAAATTTAATATATTTTATTATGTTCGGATTTTTTAAAATATTGAATCTACTTTGCATTCCTGGAATAAATCCTACTTGTTCATTATGTAAAATCTTTTTGATGTGCTCTCTAGCTTCTTTGCTAATGTTTTATTTAAAATGTTTGTGTTGATATTCATTAGGGATATTGGTCTATAGCTTGCTTTATCTTTTTTTGTCTCTCCCTGGTTTAGGTATCAAGACCATATTTGTATCAGAGAAGTAATTTGGTAGGATCCCTTTTTTCTATTTTTTCAAACAGTTTATATAATGCTGGTATTAATTGTTCTTTGAATGTTTGATAGAATTCAGTTGCAAATCCATCTTCCCGTCTGTTTTTTTACTTTGAAAGTTCATATTTTAGGTTTTTTCTTTTCAATTTCTTTTTTCTTGAACTTTTACATTCTCCATTTTTGTTCATTCAGATTTTTTTTTGTAAATATTCATCCATTTCATTTACCTTGTAAATTTCGTTATCATTAAGCAAAATAAGCAAAGTATCTACTCATTTTTTTGTTGTTGGAAATTCTTCTTTTTAATTTTTGATATCAATTTGCTTTTCCTCTTAAAAACATCAAACTAGCTAATGGTTTCTTTAGCCTTTCTCCCTCCCATCCCACCAAATGATCAATCTTCTAGCTTTATTCATAGTTTTATTTATTATTTTGCTTTAAATTTTAAAAAATCTCTTTTTAAAATTTGTTGGCTTTCCAGATTTTTATTAGTCACACACTAGTTCACTGATCTTTTCTTTATCTCTTTTTTTTATGTCTTAGGAGATATGAATTTTCTTCTCTTAACTTGTTTACATCTCAAAGTTTTGATATGTTGTCTTGTTGTTATTTCTGTTAATGAAAATGCCTTATTTTTTTCTGTGATTTGGTCTTTGACCCACCAGTTCTTTAGGATTAAGTTACTTAGTTCCCAGTTCATTTTTAATTCTTTCTTCAGAATCTCTTTATTGAATGTAATTTGTATTGGATTGTAGACAGTAATGGATGTGTTTAATACCTCTCCTTTTCTTCGTTTGTTTGTGAAATTTTTATGCCTTAGGACATAGTCAGTTTTTCTAAAGGTTACATGCATAGCTGAGAAATAAGTATATTCTCTTCTGTTCCCATTCAGTAATAGCTAGAGAATTGTTTCTGGTTTTTCCAAAATTCTGTTCATACATTTAAATTCTTTCATCTTTATCTTTTGGTTATATTTTCCTAGGTCTGAGAGGGGTACAGCAAGATTTTCAACAGTTATTTAACAACAGTAAAGAAAGACATTTCTTCCTGTAAATTGATTAATGTTTCTTTTAAGTATTTAGATACTCAGTCCTTTTTTGTGTACATATTAAGTATTGGTATTAATTTATGGTGCCTTTAAGTATAATGTAATTTTCTTTTTTATTTCTTTTAATTAATCAGTTTTTACTGTTGCTTTGTTTGAGATCATGATTGCTGCTCTAGCCTTTTTGAGTTCAGCTGAGGCATGATAGATTTAGCTTCAGCACCTTATTTTAATTACAGATGAATCTTTATTTTTCAAGTGTGTTTCTTGTAAATAACATTGTTACATTCTGTTTACTAATCCATTCTGCCCCTCCAGGACACTGAACTTCCTTCTTCAATTAATCTAGTGCCCATCTCCTACTCTTCTCCCCACCCCTTTCCTGCCACCTTAACATACATATTGATACTCTCTCAAAACCCCTAGCTTCCTAGGTCTCAACTTACTCATTTCCCATTCATTATGTGTTCTTTTACCTTATAGCACCTTAGCTATATATAAAGATGTTTATGAATTCTGAAAATTCCTTTAATCATTATCTGTGGTTATTACACCCTTCCTCCTGTCTTATAACCCCTAACTCTATTCTTTGTCCTCACTATGATCTCCAATACTTCCACCTCTAAGTTCTTTCAGAGGCCATCACTTCTACACTGGCTACACTCACCTCCCTTACCCATCTTGACCCCTTGGTGAACAAGTTTAACTCAACGCTATCTCCTACACTCAAGTCCCATTACTCCTACTATCTGCTACCATTTCTTCTAGTCACATGCTGCTGAATGAAGGCATGGAAAAAACCATGAAGCCATGCTTAATGCATACACTACAAATTTTTCCACATAATCTCTACTGAGGCTTCTCTGAGGCAAAGCAATCCTTATAGACTTCCTAATAGATTCACTATCTCCCTTTCTCTCTCAGTATATCAGCTTTCCAAATCTTCTTTCCCTCTTCAGACTTTCCTTTACTTCCAGTCTTCTCAGCTGAGAACTTTGCTTCATATTTCACTGAAACATGTTTGGCTAGTTAGTGGGATTCTTCTCATTCTTTTCTTTTCTTTTCATTCTTCTTTTCTCTTCTTACCTCACTCAGATACCTTCTTCTACTATCTCTTCCCCTGTCTCCTATGAAGTAGCAACTCTCCTCCTTGCCAAGGCAAAGTTGTCTACTTGCACAAGTCATCCAATTTCATCTCTTCCTCTCCAGCAGATTGTCTTCTCTATTATCCCCAATCCCAGTAATCTTTAATTTCTCTATTGGCTACCTCCCTGCTGCTTACAAACATGCCAGTGGTTCTTTAATCAGTTTTTTTTAAAAATCACTCAGTCTTTCTACTCCTGCTAGCTCTTGGCCTGGGCAACTGGTAAAATGGTTGTTTGCTCAGCAGAAATAGGAAATTTTGGAAAAGAGGAGAGTTTGGAGGGAAAGATAATGACCTCAGTGTGGGACATGTTCAGTTTAAAATGTTTATGGGGCATCTAGTCCAAGAGACAGATAGGATTAGAGGTAAGGAGAAAGGTTAAGGTTGACTAAATAGATCTGATAATCATCTGCATAGAGAAAATTACCTGGGAGGATAGCCCACAGTTAACTGCTGTGATCTTAGTAGAGATTCAACAAAGGAGAATGTGAAGGAACAATCAGACAGGTAGAAGAATTAAGAGGGGAAATTATCAAGAAGAGAGTGACTGAGAGTGTCAAAAGCTACAGTGAAATCAAGAAGGATGAGGGTTTAGAAAAGGCCACTAGATTTGATGACTACTTAGAGAAAGCAGTTCATTTGAATGATGTGATCAGAGACAAGATATTCCAGAGATTGAGAGGAAAGGAAGTGGAGGCATGGATAGATGACTTTCTTGAGTTGTTTAGCCATGGAAAGGGAGGACATTTTGTCTGATATCATGATTGGAAGAAAAACCTTTGATCGTCAGTAAGTTTTGTTTCTATCCCTAATTTTCTTTTTGTATGTCTAATTTTTAAATACGATTTATGTATGCAACATGTTGTTGGAATTTATTTCTTTATCCATTATGCTAATTCTGTTTTATTAATTCATTCATATTTAGTGTTTTAACTGTAAGTTTTACCATTTCCTTCCAATTAATTAATTTACATTATTTTTCCTCTATAATCTTTTAATTTAAACTTTGTGTCTCCTTTTAGGTTTCTTTATACGACTTTGATGTTAATCTTTTCTCATAGCTTTTCTCCAGCTTCTGTCAGTTTTCTGGTCTTACCTCAAGTTTTTTGTTTTTGTTTTTGTCTTTTTTTTTATTTTTTACTTTAAGGTTACTCGAGTTATTGTCTTTGTTTTCATTAATTCATTTTTAAAATTTGTTCCTCTTTTTTCTCTTCCCTCTCCCTGTCTAGATAAAAATTATAATTTGGAGCCTCCTTGCCTTTTCCTATCCTTGAGCAACATTCATCTGTGGCGCCCCTTTCCAAGAAATGTTCATTTACTTTTTTATTGCTGTTTCTTTCCCCATGTCAATTCAGAAAAATCTAATCTCTCTTTCTTGTGCTACACACTTAAATATTGTTTCTGTATTCTCTTTTTGTATTTCATACAAAGGGGGACTTTGTATGAAACAACAAAGAAATTGTTCTTTACTATTTATATATTTAGTGATGACCCTCTCTTCACTACCTCATTTATACATTTTTTTCTTTAGTTTTTGAGGGGCTTTTTGTACCAAGTCCTTGTCTCCCTGTGACCGTCTAAATTTTTTATTGCTAGTTTTTTTTTAATACTCTTTACTTCCTAATATAGCCTTTCCCCCTCTCCATCTAGAGTGCCATCTCTTATAAAGAAGAATAAAGAATAAAGAGGAAAGAAATTAGTTTAGCAAAACTAATTGGCCTGTCAACCGAATCTGAAAATACATTGTACACTGATTGTGTTTCCCTTTCTCTGCAAAAAGGGAGTTCCAGAAGTATGTTCTTCTTTTTCAGTTTAGTGAGATCTTAATTCATGAAGTGTACTTTTTGTCCAGGTCAGCTATGGGCTAGAGATAAAAACAGCCCTTGCCCTCAAGAAGCTCACATTCTAAGGGGGAGAGACAGTGTGTAAACAACTGTGTGCACATACTCAGTCTGCAGGGTAAGATGAAGGTAACCTCAGAAGGAAGACACTAACGTGAAGAAGAGGGATTAAGAAAGGCTATTTGCGGAAGGTGGGATTTGAAGGAAGCCAGGGAAACCAGGGGAATGAGGTAAGGCTGAAGAATGTTCCTGTCATGAGGGACAGCCAGTAAAAATGCAAGGAATCAGAATACATGTATTTTGTGAGGAACAGTAAGGAAGTCAGTGTCACTGGATCATAGAATACATGAAGGGGAGGCCATAAAATCTAAATCTAAAAAGATTAGAAAGGGACCAGGTTATCAATAAGTGTTCACTGGATGAGAGAACATGTGGAGGGGAGTAAAGTGTAAGAAGACTGGAAAGGTAGGAAGGGTCTGGGTTATGAAAGCCTTTAAAAGTCAAACAGAAGATTTTATATTTTATTTTGGAGGTAATATGGAGCCACTAGAGTTTATAGTTTTATGAAAGACTCTCAGTTTCCAGATTAGGGTTCACTTTACAGAATAATCTTTCTCCCATAGAATCAGAGGTAAAGCTGTGCTTCTGGCCACAATCCTGATAAGGTAATCTCTGTGAGGAAATTCATTTTGGGGGGGGGTGGCGAGGCAATGGGGTGAAGTGACTTTCCCAGGATCACACAGCTAGTCAGTGTCAAGTGTCTGAGGCCAGATATGAACTCAGGTCTTCCTGAATCCAGGGCCAGTGCTGTATCCACTGTGCCATCTAGCTGTCCCCAAAAATTCATTTCTTAAGAGTATGTTAACAATAGTCACATGACCAAGTATTATAAAATTAGGTTTTTGTGGTGTGATATATTTTTGTTACGTGTGGGACTGATAGACAATGCTAGTAGTACAGATGTCCT